CACATGACAGCAGTTAGGTACCCTGAGATCACTGCCTATGCTGCTGACCACTATTGTCTCTTGGGTTCCTTGGTTTCAGTTTTATTCTGGTTGAACAGCCAGTCACCAAGCCAGGCATGCAGATTCCTGCTAGCCAAGGTGAGAGCCAGAAGACCTCTTTTCTTGGTATTTGCATATTTTTAAAAACTACCTACACTGAGTAAGTCATATGAAAGTTATGAGTATTAAGAAACTGTGGATAATCTTGCTCAATTAGAATGGTCTTTAAAGTAATTTTTCCTCCTCCAAGAAATATTTTAAACGTCTTTCCCAGTTTCATGCAAGATCACTCTATGCTTTCACCATGGACAAATAAGTTAGGTTTTTCGAGCGGAAGTATTCTGACCTGATGTGGTGCAATGGACATGCTCCCTCCCTGTCATAGACACACGCTGTTTATGGGAGTCATACACTTTGTAGCATCTGTAGATCAACCTGACTGCATATCAGGAGCTACTTGCAACCCACCATGCTTTCCTCATTCCCTTATGTGCCATCCTCCCATTTCCTTCTATTTGGGAGCTGTCTGCAGTCCTCCCAAACTTTCCATTATTCCCTTATTCCAGTGGCTTCTTGGGCCCCAGAGGCTTTCTCCTATGCCAAGGACTCAGTATGCCTCATTCTCCTATCCTTACCATTGCAGAGTCCCACCTTCTACTTCCTATGCCAGGAGTGCTGCATGTGTTGTCATTCTCTCTCCATAAAACTATTCTTACTTATAGCAGGGTCACCTCCTCCCATGCAAGAACCTCTATGTGTACTCCCATTACTCCCTTTCCTTCCCTAACAGGATAATTCATTCCTCCCTATATCAGGGCTCTGTGGGAATCCCATTATCTTACCATTATGATGTATTTTGTTTCTTTGTGGGAGGTAAGTCATTCAGGGTACCCACAAGTGAAGGTGAGCAGAGATAAGGCATGCTGGAAGCTCTTAAAACCAATGCCAGCAACATGTTCTGTGATGTCTACAGGTGGGTCCGTATCTTGTTCCTTTGGGACCTCACTTCCAGTCTGAGCCTGATCACTATAACTGAATATCTGTGGAGCTTGTGAATCCACTCTTTACATTACAGGGCCCCACATTTGGAAAGCACTGTTTTACAAACAACTGCAGGGCTGCTAAATTAACGCCAGGGGCTCTGTGTGTCCTCCATCTTCCTAAATCCAGTTTTCTGATTTTCTTCAAAACAAAGAGGGTTCTGCCTAGTCATCCTGAGAATTTCCCCCTAGAATTCTGGAAACAATCACATGCAGAGTCAGAAATTATCCATCCCATTTCAAATAGAGAAAAAGGGGACATTTCATCAAGTTACCTTCAGGATATTAGTGAACTATCTTGCTTCTCTGACTTACACAAAAGTCTGAACTTACAGTTCATCGGTTACTCTGTATTAAGTGTCCAGGTGCACAATCTTATCCTATGGTAAATGCGAGGTAGCCTTCCATGCTTTCACTGCTTTCATTTACCATGTTGTCTCACATTTACCATGGGATAAGCGTGTGCACATGGTAACCTACTGAAGAGTAGCCAACATCACAAGTTGGGCCAATTACTACTCCTACTAACACATCTGCAGTGTGATATGTGTACAGAGAAGTAAAGGGAGATGCCTCGACTCCCTGCTTGATAAGCCTCTCTGAACACTGTCAATATACTTGAAGTACCTAATTCTATTTTCAGATATCGGCACACAATTGTCATCGACTCCCACTGGATGGGGGACACTTTCCAGTTGCAGCCCTGAAGAATGCTATGTCTGTATTTTTAGCAAACACGTATGACAACCATCTTGTCATCTTGGAATGCACCAAAGTAGGACACTCGTACAACTGTATATGGATCCATCTACTTGGCTAAATATTTGAATTGGAGGCTACAATACAAACAAGTAACATAAAAATTTCCCTTAATCAAAACCTTAACAAGAAACATACCTGCAGTCTCCCCATTTCGACATGGCATTAGAATTCACACAGCATTTGCTTCCAACACACACAATATTTCAGTGGTGCTGAGAAAACTGTAAATAATTTATCTGTACTGAAATCAAAGCTTTAGAATTTTGACAGGTATCATAACTTATCACACTGCTCAAAAAGTGTTTTGATTAATAACAAATAATTTATCTTCCAGGCAGCTAAATCCTCTGCTACAGATCTAATTCTGTTTCATTTTTCCCTCCTGCTGGATGCTGGGGGAGGAAAGGCAGGATAAAGGTCTTATCATCTTTGTTTTTACCTCCTCCCTCCCAATGGCTCATATCACCTTTCAGCTTCCAAACTGACCAGTGGAGGGGGCATGTAGGACAAAAAGAAGTCCTCCTTCCTACCACTAAAAGAAAGCACAATCATCAGTACTTCTATGCTCTAGTTCAGGGGTGGCAAACATCTGGCCGATAAATGGCTTGGGACCAGTCCACGGGCTACATGAATGATGCAGGGTTGGCCCTGCAACCAGACTGGGCCCACAAACCCTCTCCATGCTGCATCCAGTGCACACAGCGCCTACTCCAGCTGGTCTGGGACTGCACTGCATGCAGCACTGTGTGGGGCCCATGCAGAATGGGTGTTGCATTTGGTGTCTGCTCCAGCCAGTCGGGAACCTGGCAGGAAGAAGCCCAGCATCCTGGATTCTTGGCTGCTCTGGGAAGAAGCCATGGTTCTAGGCTTCTTCCCACAGTTCTGCTCAAGCTCCAGCACCACTACTTTTGCCCAGGTACTTAGCAGCCAAGTGGGTGAGAGCTATGCTGCTGGAGCCCCAGAAGCACCACAGCTTGTTTTTGCAGCAGCATCCAAGTGCCTGAGTGAAAGCCACTGTGCTGGAGCCCCAGGTGCACTACAGGAACAAGCTTGGCACCACAGCTTCTACCCATGGTGGCAGACAGGCACCCAAGTGAGAGCAGTGGTGTTTCTTCCCCAAAAGCACCATGGGAATAAGCCCAGTACGGTGGGTGCTTGGCTGCCACTCCAGCAATGCACCACATCACAGCCACAGAGTCAGGGCAAAGCCTGTGGGCTGAGTGTCTCTGCTCTGCAGACTGGATCTGGCCCACAGGCCATATGTTTGACACCCCTGCTCTAGCATGCTTTTAGTAAAAAATACACAAAACATTGGTTTCGTTTTACCCAAAAATGAGAAAATACCTTAGATTATCTTGTACTTACTAAGTTCGGCAATGCTTCCCACACGTGTAGCAAGCAAGGACTGCTCGATGGTCCTTAACTCCGACTGGTTAAACATCTGGACTTCACCTGGTTTATTTGACCTTTGTTGGTCTTTGTGAAGATTCAGGCTCTCTGGCAGGCAGAGAACACCTAATGTTAATAAAAGAGAGAACAAAAGAAAAGTTTGTTGTAATTTTGGTCACCATAACTATTTTGCTACCACAATCCAATCTCTCTATGGATGTTTAAATACATTTTTGGGGCATACAGAGCTCAGAAGGTACTGGTATCTTTTTTTTTTTTTTTTAAGGCACATTTAATACCTATAAGAACAAGTCTTTCGGGAGAAGCAGATTGAAAAAAATGTCCCCCATTAACTTTTCAGAATAACCTGAAGTCTCTCACATTGCCATTGTCCATTCTGGGAATAATTCTTATGAAAAAGTCCTATGGACTAGTACAGGGATGAAGTCTGTTGGATTCCAGAGAACTTAATGAGGCTCTGCAGAAGTTACATAACAACCATCTGAATTTAATAGAAAATTACATCCTTGCAACAAGAGCTTTGATAGAGTACTCCAACATCTCTACAGAAAAGCTTCTCATTCTCTATTAAATTTTAGAGGCCTTTTCATAAGAGAAACTCCATTTCTAATTGTCAAAATAATGGGCTCTGTCAAAATGTCGGCAGTGACATCTAAGAGCGTACTGCATTTTTTTGAAAGCATAACTCCTGACAGTTGAACTGTTGAGACTTCAAACTTTACCCTAATAGCAATATGTATCACACTATTGGGTCAAGTTCACACTTGAGATAAGCAGATGCAGAGCCACTGAAGTCAGCACAAAGTCATTGAAGTTGCACTTGCAAATGGCATGTTTAAGTTTGGCTCTCCATCTGACTGAGCAATTTGAAAGCCAACAATTGGCTTTGGTACCTCTGAAAGAAAAAGGTTGATTTTGAAAAACATGAAAAACAAACAACAAAACCAAATATTCTTACAAAACACAGGTAACAACAAACAGCTTCCCCCACACTATCTTACCCGGGTACCCACCACTTTTCTTGAGGACACTTACGTAATTCATTTTCTCGACTCATTAGATAGTTTGTCTCTTTCCACTGTGCATGATAATAATCTTGTCAATAAATGTCAAGTGTGCTTGCACTATTTGCACAATGGCTACCATCCACCAGTTCCACAAAAACCACCAAACAGCCATCCAAGAAGAATAATCCTAGCGCATTGTTGACTTGAGTGGAATTTGAGCTAATGGCCTAGCGTGCAAAAAATATTCTTAAAAAATACCCCTTCTATCTGCTCCATGCTCTCTGTTTATCCCTGGACAGAACTAATTTTTGTTTCCAGAAGGAGCTCTAAAGATGTAAAAAGTTACCATAATTCTAGATATCCCTCTATACAACATTACTTTAATAAGCACCTACTTGAACACACACACAGATACACAAGAAAGATGCTGCAGAATAATAAAAAGGTCCAGTTTTCATTAAACTGGCATACCACCCCATCAACAATGAAAGGGCTGAAAATGACTTGCTGAGTCATGTTTCTAACACTAAACACCATGCAGGATATTTCCATATGTTGCTCTCCCTTGTCCCATCTTGGCTGTTTCTGAATGCCTCTGTTGAGGGTGCTTACCTCCCCTCCATTGGTCATCTATTCAAATTTTAATTTTTTAGGAGGGGATTCCAGAATGGCACCTAGCCAGCCAATGTACAATCCTGGGAATGGCACTGGTTATTTTTTCATCGTCACTGCACACTAGGCTCATGTTTATGTGACATTCTATATCTCTTCTTTATCCTGCCTCCTCTATTGCTTACGATAGGGGACTGTAACATAATGATGACAATGATGTCAGTATCGGCACTGCGGCAGATGTCCTATGGATGGATTTGAATTCCTTTCCCCAGAGTTCACTATCCAAAGACACACCATGCAAATACAACAAGGGGGAAGGAATAAGAAGCCAGAAAAGCAGTGCAACTCAACTGTAAAGTATTACACATGTCTTGTTAGTTCCACCATATGGTGTTGGCATTGGCGATGTGTAGGGGGTGCATGAGCACCCTCTGAGATTGGCAGTGCACCCCCTGCAAAAAGTGCTGGCAACACTGCCAGCGGTGTCTATGGGTGGTTGCCGCTCACCACCCCCACCCTCGCTGCCGACACCATTGGCGGCATCTGCGGGCGGTCCCTGATTGCCACTGCCGATACTGCTAATGGCATCTGCAGGTGGTTGCTGACCACTGGTTGGTGCTCGCCACCCCCCTCCCTGACACCACTGTGGCTGCCTGCTAGAACTCCCTGCTCGCCGTCACCACACCCCCACCACTGCCACCTGCGGGTGGCCCCGTGCCCCGCCCAGCCTCCCGGGGCATGCAGCGTTCATAGGTCTGAATCTTAGAATCTTAGAAAATGGGACATTAGTTTAAAAAGCTCAAAGTAGTGAAGACATGGGCCAAGAGAAGAAACAAATCTTCTTGAAGTGGTTAGAGGGGTCCAGAGTCAAATCACACTAGGGTATGAGCCAAGAAATATGGAGATGCAAACAACTTACCTCCAGGTAAAGGGTTGGGGATTTATCAGGTGTTGGCTGCTCCATGGTAATTGCCCTTGTGCCCACTTCTACCCCATAGTGAGTCAAAGCTAGCTTTTCTTACTCCTCTTTCACTGAAGTCTAAGTAGCCCCAAGTGAACTTTGAATTACCATGGAATAAGTGTATATAACTGGGCAGTTACCATGGAACAGTTAATGTGCAGTAAATTTTAACCTGTGGTAAGTTGCTTGTGTGCCTATACCTGTGGTCTTCCTTTGTGGAGGAATGGGAACAGCACAGCCTTTCCTTGAACTGCATTGGATTCTAGGCAAGGGCTTTAAATTAGCAAGAATGAGGCAAGGCCACAATAAAGAAGAAAGGTGAAATCCTGGCTCCAGGGAAGCCAATGACAGAACAGAAGTTGATTGCAAAGGGGCCAGGGGTTCTTACACAATGTCCATAATCAGGGCTGACCCTAGCGGGTGCGGGGCCCAGGGCAAATCTGTCTGTGTAGGGCCCTCTTAACACCATGCAAGGCCTGTGGAACCCCTACAAAGGCAGGGCACAGGCTGGGGTCTCCCCCACACCCAGGGGGGCAGTCTCTGCACTTCTTCTGTGGCACGGGGTGGAGCTGTCAACAGCAGGCAGGCCCCATGGGAGGGGCCGTGGCTGCTCCACCTGGCTCTGTGGGGCCCCCTAAAGCACAAGGCCCGGTGCAGTTGCCCCGATTTGCCATACCCTAGGGATGGCCCTGTCCATAATGACAAGTAAGACATACTAAAAGTAAAAGTTACAGCAAGGAAAGAAATAGGACAGAGTTCCAAACTGGAACTCAGGAAGCAAAGTCAAAGCTGACAATAAAAGTAAAGTGACTGAGTAAGAGGCAGGAGATGCTCAAACGCAGCAACAAAACGAGGGAGTACACAAGTAAAAGTGGAAAGAAAGTTTCTGTCTACACAAGCTTTATAACAGGATTTAAATACAGTTCAAACTCAGTTCCAGAAAAACTGTGTTAAAACAATACCTCCTCTGCCACTGAGACTCAAAGACCAATATCCTATTGTAGTTTGTTTAAAAGTGGTGATACAAGCCTGGCTCTATTACTAACCCTAACATCCTGGCACCAATCCCAATGTTGTCACAACCACAGTGAAACCATATTCATGAGTGGAATGTCAAAGTAGAAGACAACTTGTTAAGAAGAGTGGGGTAGTTAACTGTGAGTCTGAGATTAGGCAGAAGATAGGGATTTTAGCACCTTACAGACTAATTTGTTCCAAGAGACATGAGCTTTCATAAACTACAGAGAAGCAATCCAAAGGAGTAAGACACTCAAAGCAACAGTAGGGAAAAGAGAAAATGAAGAACACAGAGGTAAGGCAAACAGAAAACAAAATGAAACAACATAGTATAAAAAGAGCTTTGAAAATACTTTTGTGATTCTTCAGGGGTTGACTTAAATACCTAGTGTATGAATCAATATTTACATTCTGTAGATTCACAAGGTTTTGGGAGTACTGCTCCTGATTTTTAAAATGTATAATTTTCTGTGCATTTTAATAGTTTTATCTCAAGTAAATCCTTAAGTAAAATTTACTCTATAATCTTAATTGATGTAAATAGAATTGTAAAGGCAAATTTTGAAAAAAAAAATTCTGTATAACACAGATATCAAAAAGCTCTAGTACTTAAGGATAGTGTGTTTTCAAAACAGTAACTAGCATGTCAACAATTCTTGTGGCATCTCCATAAATGTGTTGCACTGAATAAGTAATGGTATCACATCACAGGCCTCCAGACATTCCAAAAGGAAAATTAATATCATATAGATTACTTTTTCTAGCAGATACATGCATTACATAAGTTTAGATGAAGGATAAAATATTAATTTTAAACAAGATATACATTTTAAAGCAATCGGTCTTTTTTTGCATATTAGACATACAAGAGATTATTTCTGAGCAATTAAAGTATTGGAAAACAGGGATTCCATTCTCAACCCTGTCTGTCTGGCTTTGTCACCTTCAGCAGATACTTATTTTTTCTCTTCCTCAGTTCTCCTTCACAGTCCTCAGATTAACTAATTTAGTTCATTAATGTACGGAAAACATTTTGAGATCCTTGGATGAAAAGTGCTATAAAGGTGCAACATTTACTGCTGTTGGAAAACTTAGCTAATTATAGGATATGTAGTGCCAGAAGGTTTTACTTTGGTTTAAATTTAGTCAAGACATGCAATAGCTAAACACTTGATATTTATTTATCCCACAAGTTTAGAAACCGTAATTGACCACAGCAGGTGACCAGCAGAGTGATGGAAGATTGTTAGCTTTATTACTTAACATAATCCAGTATATATGCTTAAATATACACTTATAATTTTATTGGGTTAAATCTGATTTTCACCAGAGTACTGGAAAGCAATTCTATTACTTTGGTACAATGACTGTGCCAACTTTTAAATTTCAAGCGTCTTTCCCAGAAGTTGATCTGTGGCTGCCTACAAACTCATCGGGGGGGGGTCAACAGGGAATAGGGGATACTCTGTTTACCAAGGCACTCCTCGGGGTTACCAGGAATAATG